CCTCTGTCAGAATATGTTTTTGCACTTGTAACCCTATTAACAATAACTATAACTTTTACGATAACCGGCGATTTGATGCAACTCACCCTTAGTGTTCTTAATTTGAATTTTGTTTCAACATAATAAAATCGGATTTAGCAATTATTTCAAGACATGCGTGAATTTAGTGACAACTGACAGTCGTGTTCTGTTCAATTGTTTTATCAAATTTAATTCGAAAATTACTTTATCCATTTGAATGAAATTAATTTGTGAATGCTTTCAACGTGACTTACAATAAAATATAAATGATGGAGCACAAACTGATTGAAGTACCTTTGTTTTCTTGTGTGCGTTTTTTGTGTTTATGTATTTATGCGTGAGTGTTTCAAATATTATTATTAAATAAAGGCAACTAACATAACTTAGAGGATAACCTCGAGGCGCAGTGGCCTCGTAAAACTGCGTAAACAACCGCTGTGGAAAGGGTTTTTCATGACAAAATCGCAATACTAAGCCAATTTCCAAGGGTATGAGGTATGAGAAAAACGTTTTCTTGATTTTTTTTTCTTTGGGTGGCACAGCGCTCCCCTGGGGCATTAAGTCCAAGGTCTTTATTTTCCCTTATTTAAAAACCAATTCCAATTTAATAAATTAAGGCTAGTTAAAATTATTACAATAAAATTTTCATGACATACAAATTTTTGTTCTCTAGTTCCGTGTTACTTTTATAATGTTAGCCAAAAATTACGGGTATTACTATAAAAACTTACAAATTGGCCCGGTTCGGATTTTGACATATCATGGCTATTGAGGATCATTCCCAACCGTCACCCGCTATGTCCCCACGTGAGTACCGAACACTTCATCCGTCCCATTATCATCAATAAGGTGACAGATGAAACCGTTAAGAGATAAAATTAGTTCCAACCGTCTCCTCGTTGCAAAAGGTGGGACGGATGAAGCTTTTTATTCTCATCTGTCTCCACGTGGGGACAGAGCGGGCTGACGGTTGGGAATAATCAGCTTTTCAAACATTTTATTTACGCTTCCGAAATGATTTTTTGACCAATAAGTAAAGTACTGATAGTTAAAACACTTGTTTAAATATATAGTGTCTATGATTTTTTGAGTAACAATGTTTGTTTTGTGGAATGTTTTGCAGTGGGAACCCAGTTTTGTATTCGACACTGAACATATTTATGCAACAGAATAACATCGACATTTATCTACTAAGCTTTCTTACAAGTAATGCAATTTTACGGAAACCCCGTTGTAAATTACTTTCAACAGCCGCTTTTATTTTATTCAACATGCACATTTTAATTTCTTTTCGTAACATCTTACGTGTTCCACTTCAACACTCTCATAGTTATTAAATATTAGGAACAGTCGTTGCAAACTGGAGTAACAGGTTTGTACTAAAATTGTTACATGTGAAATTAATTGTGAAAGGTGGCGGTCATATTTCGGCGCAAGTCTGTGTGCGTTCTAAATTAACCGTAATTACTTTATGTCTGCGCAATTGAATTCTGTGTCGCTTTTAGAGTAAGTTTACACTGACCAAACTTGTATAGGAACATGTCAATTAAATATCTTTAAAATGATAACAATTGGTTCAAGAAATATTAGTTGGAATGGTATTCTATTTTATCTATAATTTATCCAAATTAAATAAGTTCTGTAGATATTAAGTGTTTGGAGCTTAAATATTTTGCCAATGTAAGCAATAATGTGACAATTGCTAAGCTTGTTCAGTGTAATTGCAGCTTAGTGTAGTCAACTGTTATAAGCTAATAATGAATGGCTGCATTGCCGATATAAACTATGCAACCAAAGACATTAAAACAATATATAGACAAGGCATAGTGAACATTTTTACATCAGTACTTTCTCTGAAAGGTACTATATCAGCCAGATCGTGTTCTTATTTACACGTAATAAAACATTTCACAAAATAATAAGCTTCATCTTTTGTTATGAAATAAACATTGAAATATTATTTAATGACACTTATTAGAAAATAATTTAAATACAATTAATTATGTCGACCTGTGGTTTTAATTATTTATCAATAGACAGCGCTCGTGATGATTGTTTGAAAAATATTTCAAGATCCAACTCTGTCTCCTCTATATATTTTTTGAATCTCTGTATGCAAACACATGCACACACGTATACTGTAGGCACACGCAAGTACCGTGTAACAAATCTCTATGCCTGTGTCGTGACTTGTAATTAATATTTACAAGGCTTTACTAAAAAATGTAAATGCTGTTGACGTTCTACTGGATTTAAGTATACTTATCGACTAAATGTTGAGGATTTATTCAATTAAATATAACGTCTGTACCCTTCAGTAAGTACAATGTAAACCTTTGTTTAAATCTAGACATTTTTAATCTAAAAATCACGTTAATATATTGCTAAAATTTAAACAGAATACTCTTCTAAATAAACATAAACAGCAACGATTTCCAATTCTAACAACTAACACATATATTTAAAAGTCATTTAAATAAGATGGTATTTAAAAGGTAAAATTTTGGTCAAAGAATAAGAAATGACAAAGATATACGAAAGAAAATCATTTTTGGTATTCGATTATTTTGTGTTATGGCAAAATGTTTCTACATATTCTTTTAAAAAAGGTTAAATTGCAGTTACTGTATTCTGATTGGCTTACACGTATTTAATTAAAAATATACAATACGTCTTACAATTCAAGATTACACCACGATATGTATTGTAATTAGTCAAATGATTATGTAAACGAAATAATTACAATATGAGATAATATTTAAAAATTACGTGCATTAAAATCGGGTAATACGAACTTTAGTTTTCAAAGTCAGTGTATTATGAACACAGGTGCATAATTTGCCGTGTAATTTATTCGTGAACATTGGTGTGGCATATCTTGTATAACAGTTTAGTTCGCGAGTTCTCATATGAAAGACACTCGTACCGTAAATGATATATATCTGCCAGTGTTTGGCAGATATTTGGCATTCCTAATGGACGATTTTATTTCACCACGTAAACCTACTGAAAAAAGGTTAGTGTAATACTTATTTTGTTGTTTATTAATACTTTTAAAATATTTTTTAAATCAATTAAAAATAATATAACCTTGCACTTTAGATTTATGGTTTAAGTAACTTTAAAGCGTATAAGTGAGGTATATTTTGCTTGTAACTTTTTAAATTGTAGTATTCAACCAGTTTTCGTAGATTAGTATATAGAAATGTTACGTAGCCGTTATACAAATCACGTCGGCGTACTTTTTGTCTCTAACATGTTATTCAATTTGTTTCAATTAAAATTGCCTAACCGATACTGTTACCTCGCGTGTTATAACTCAGATTAATTGTTTCGTTTTGACAATCCGTGATAACTTGCCAGAACCGTTGTGTTCAAGGTGGTTGGGTGAACGCGGGAAGAATGTTACTAACGCTTACTACTTACTGTATAAATCTATTTGAGACCAGTATCTGATTACCATCAGTACATTTTAGTGGTCCCAAAGCATTAAATGACAATTTAATTAATGAGTACATTTAAATAAACTTTGGACCAATCAGCATATGTAGATGAGTGGTTGATGCAAAGTCACTCAATTCACTTTCTATTATTCTAATAATTGCTTTGTTTACACAGAACGATATATTTTTATCATCTCATAAAAATCTAAGTGCGTTTGCATAGTTCACTGATGTCCATCTATTAAGTTTTATTAACATGAATAATACATGCTTAATGTTTCTAACAAGTCCCGAAGTGTAAGGTCATTCTTGAAAAACATCCTCGAAGTTGTTTTGCATGGATACTTCTTGCATAACTCGCCATTGCAATTTAGCAGAAACCATACGCCGATACACGATTTGCAGAATACACTTTAATTGTTGATTTTAGTAATTCAATATTTGCTTTGACCTTTGAGTTACGCTTTATTGGCAAATAATGCCTATTTGTTTTAATGTTGAATTGTAAATATGACACCGATTGTTTATATTTAGAGCGTGCGCACACCTTTGACTAAACTATCGCACAACTATTGTGTGGTTTTCGATTGTCGATTGTTTTACAGACAATTCAACTGTTTAGTTGCAGAACTAAAATCGAGTAGTATGCCCAACTTCATATCTATACTATTATAATAAAGCGTAAACACACACTTCTTTGTTGCCTAAGATGTCAGCAATCACAGCATGTTTTCTAATAATTCGCAGTATCTAGTGAAAGAGAAGTCTACTCGAATGTTTAAACTGAATGATTTTGTTCGTAAATCTTTTAACAATTATGTTATGTTACAAATATGTTACGGGATTATAAAATCAGAAATCAAGTATACACGCAGGTTAGGTAATATTTGGTTACGTGTGACGAATTCTTTATTGAAGCAGTCAGGCACATATTTGATTAAATACAGCATTTAATAAACCTTTTATTACAATTGCTTATGAGTGAAAATCTGAACTAATTAATGAATAATAATTAATCATAAAACAATGTTATATTTTATTCTTTATACGTATACTTTAGCTTAAGTAATTGTAGTAATTGCAATAATTTACTCATGTCGGCCTTTATCTTCTGTAATATACGTGTTATATAAACTTGTTTGCTTTATCAGGAAGAAAAAAACAATAAAAGTTTGTTTTTTCTTTTCTTTTTGTTAATAGTCGTGTTCGTTTACATCGCCTTGTTATAATTATAATAATAAAATGTTGAAAACATACAGAACCAACGTTAGAAAAAGGAAAGAATTAATATTTTCACTTTGAATAATTGTTAAATACACGAATTAAAAAAAAACATCTGCCTACATAAAGAATTCCTGTTAAATAGTATTTTTGTCTATTTACTACAGTATAGTCGGAGCGGATTACTAGTCGTTTTAAATATATTACTAACGCTGACTCAGATGTTATTACTTGAGAAAGAAATATTACCGTATAAATTATCAACAATAATTAGTTGTCGTGTATAAACATTCACTTCGTCATTAAATGTCACAACTCCATATTTGTAATAACTTTTAACGACAACTTTTACTTTTTGACTACAGTTTTCCTCTATTTTTTACGTTAAAAAAGCACAAGCTTCGATCAACAATATTTGCTCGAAGTCGACAGGTCATTGACAGTTTAACATATCTATGATTCTTAGAGCGGGCGTACATCTTAAGTTTAACTAACGGACAATTGTTATGCGATTGTCGATAGTTTCGCACCCGAATCAACTGTTTAGTTGCATAACTAAAAATCGGGTGTGCGCAACTCAATATAAGGAATCAATGCGAGACTAAACAGTTGTGCGATATTATAGTTTCTAGAGTGCGTACGCTTTTATTGCACTCTAGTTACACATTCAAACAGTTGTAAAATCCTGTATTAACATTGATAGGCACTCGCTGACATTTTACTTTAGAATTTAAAGTGTTATGCTTGCAATTTGTATTAATTTGTTTAGATAACAATTGATGCGTTTTGTCATGAATAAAATTTAATTTGAAATTTCTTGTCATAAATCGGTATTATGGCTATAAGAAGGATCCTTGGCTTGAAGGCTTAATAAGCGATTTACTGTATAGCAGAGGAAGCATTCAGCAAACTCAATTATAACTGACCTCTGATCCCTCGGCGGGACGACTGGTCATGTCCTACCAGTACACCCGTAAATCCTTAGTTAATTCATAGATATTGGACTCTACCTACAGTTAATATAGGTAAATTTTAGGAAAATTTAATTATGGAGAAATCTTTTTAGTCTTATTTAGCGGTAGGCATGACTTTAGTTAGGCCTCAGTTTTGTGTTGAAATAGGGTGGGCCCAGCTTACAAAAAAAAAGCAGCGAATGAAGCAACACGGTGCAGAGGGTACCGGAACGTTCCTCTGGAGATCCCGGGACCCTCAAATCGCACCTGAGGGCGGCCACCGAGGGGGTTTTTGGTAAGTAAAAATCTCACATAACCCTGTCTTTTTATAAAAGACAGGGTATCTTTCGAAGATTTTCCCCCTCGGAAAAAAGGCATGACTTTAGTATTACACTCTAAAAAGCAGGACCAAACCGTTTAGATTTATGGAAAAATGTAAAGATGAGATCAAATTATATTAAGGGCGAAGAGTAATAAATAAAAATGTCTTTATTTATGTTATTTTCACACATAAAATTAATGTTAATTTTAAGTGTATGTTCGTTTTAATATAATGCTTGCCAGTAAGGTTTACGTTTTCGACGCGGTTATGTAAATTCGTATGTAGAGTATTAAGCATATTCGGTTACAGTATTGCGTTTACTACCTACCTACACCTACCATTCACTTAACTTGAAATGCGGTTTATTAGAAATAAACAGAGGTTTAGTGTCAATTTGTTACTTAATTTAAACAAAATAACTTATTCTATAGAATCTTAAATGGTTTCAAATGTTTTAATAGTGTTATAAATAAAATATTAGGAATAAATAAATAAATACGGGAGTAGGATAAGGAGGAAGATAAAGATTAGGCAAGTGAACTAACAGCGAGATAATTGTATTTAATTTGTATTTCGCATATTCCAGAACCTTCTAGCTTTAAAAATGATGCGTTAGAACGCATTTTCTAGAAAAACACTATATTTAATTCTTTAGTTTATCATTGTTGGTTATCTTTTTGTTACGTATATGAATTTAAATAGTAAAAATGTGTTAATTTAATTTATTTTAGGTAAGGAAGTTTTTTTAGAAATATTTTCACCTTTATAACAGGGATAACGTTGAGAACAAAGGTGTAAATTAAGTTTCTCCGCCGCATCAAAGGCCATTCTAGCTTATCTAAATTGCATGAATGTTCTCATGAATAAAAGGATTCCCTTCTTTCGCAAATGGAAAAGAGAAGTCTAAGGAGTCGCTTTGTTTTTTCCATCGTCAGTATGTTTAGACATTTGATAAGATTTGGTCTATTTAAATTACATTGGATGTGATAGGGTCTTTGTAGTTAATTTAGAATATTTTATTTTTGTAATGTTAATTATCTTGAAAGTCCTAGAAAACGTAACCTATAATAAATGTTACGACTTTCCGTAATATTTTTTTATGCGTTATTTTCATAAATAGAGAATATAGCTATCGATCGTCATCTTTTTGTTGAAATAGAAGTAAACATTTCCGTAAAGAAAATACTTAAAAGTAAATCCTTCTTTAGTCTTTAGCAGAGTAAAGTTACATCGGCTTACAACTTATCAGAAACAATTCAACAAGTAAAGTTTAGTAAATCGTCTTAAACGATACTTACAAACAAATCCTACGAGCGTCCTTCAATAGAACAAATCTATCTGGAATTCGTAACATTTAAACTTTGCCCAAAAGTTTGTATAAACGATAAACTTGACTCAGTCCTCGACTACGAAGCACTAAAAGTATGTACAATTTTGTAAGCACTTTCTCTAATATAGCTACATACCCTTGTTAGGAATAGAGAACTGCTGGAACAAGCATTTATATTCGTAAAGTATTCTCTTTGCAGATATTTAGTCTTTTTTCAACTAAAAATACATTATCTAATTGCCCGCAGATGCGGTACGAGTGTGTTAAGTGTAGCATGTAAAGGGAACCTAGTTTCCATAATTTACAGGCTTAGACCCTTGGGCGGTCACCATGTACATTGCTCGAGCGGTTGTTGTTTAACTTTCAGCCTAATTATTACGTTGGCATGGAAGCGGCTTATTTATAATCTGTGTGTTTTAACGTTGAATGTTTCCGCTTTTGTGTAGAGTATCTCATTATTCCAACATGATCGTAGTGAAAGTTAAGTGCTGTCTAGATGTTTTGTTATTTGCCTGGAAATCTAGATTAAGACTAACAACCGTACAATCCTATAAATAGGTATTTAAATTATGTTACATTTATAAAAGTACCTTATTTTTATTAAGCTTTGGTTATCAAATTTTAGAACATTTAATATTTTCTTTTTCTACAATAATTCAAGTATATTAAGGTGACATTATTTTACTTACATATTGTAGTGTCGCTTTTTGTTGTGATCCTTTTATAAAACAGTATGAAAAAACAAAA